GAACCTACGGAGCTAAATTGTCGTCCAATGCAGACTTGGAAGTACTTTCCTGTTCGTGAGGTTCTGATGACTGGGAAGGCCCAGTATTCGGGCTGTAGTTCTGGTGAGGAGTTGCATACAAACATCAGTGAAGAATCACTTACACCACTGATCGTAACTCCACTGCTGGAGGTCCGCTACTTTCTTGCTCCCTATCATTGCTGTTATACAGGTAACAGATTCCAGGGAACTGCAACTTACTCTGAAGCCTGCGGGGGTCCTGGATTATCCTGTTCTGGGGCAGGCTGCTCATCGGTATGGGCGCACTGGTCCTCGGCGCCGTCAGTGCTTGATGCCTTTGACATGAGAATGTAACAGCTATAGGTATTTGGACTCGAAGTAGAAGCCAGTGGGATGGAGAAGAGCCTGGGCCCACAGAGATAAGCACGACAAGTTGGTCGGGCGCCTGCAACCACCTCGAACACGTGTACGACATTGTTGTTGACGCCGAGGGTATTAGTGAGCGCATCCTAAAGTTGTTAAGTTGTGAGTGGCGTAGGGTTAGGGTTCTGTTTGTTTGCTCCTGTTGCACTCTGCGTCAGACCTCTACCTAGTGTGGGGGGCAAAACTACTTGGGGTCAGTTTTGCCGGTTGCAACCGGCAAAACTGGCAAAACTGGTTGTTTTGCCAGGTGGCGAAACTCTAGGCTATATATGTGTATGACATTCCTAATGAAGACATCAATCATCGAAATCAAAAGCATTTTCCTCCAGCAATTCAACTTCGTTAATGTTCCGAACTTCTTCAGTCTGTGGCAGGATGTCATCTGCATCACAAGGTTTGGTCAAGAGCGGAGCCCATCATCAGTGAACTACCGGAGTTCTGAGAAGGGCATATATTACATTATATAGTACATAATTACCAGCATCTGTATAATTCAGCTATACGCTATCACATTATCATACTTAACTTTATACTAGTGGAAAGATGAGTTTCTAATAGACATGGAATCGAGAGAATCATCACAGTAAAGGCCTTGAGTATGTGAATTTCATGTAGGGCTGCAGGTTATCAGAAAGTGTTTTCGCTATCATTATATCCCAATCATTTCAGCACTTTGCAACTTGAATGCCAAGTCTAACCTTGATTTCTAGGCGCTCGAAATTCATCAATGATGCAAGTGGGTATCCTCCACCATGGAACATCTTGCTTTAGGGACGATATTCTATTGAATTTCAAGGTATATTTATCAGATTTAAGTTACATCTCTGCGAGTTTTGCCAAGTTGTGCCACCCCCATTTTGCATGAGTTTTGCCGATCACCGGGCACAACCGGTCTGGCACAACCAGTTGGCAAAACTCGGATGTTTTGCCAACAACACTACCTCTACCCCAAACTGTCAAAGAGCACCTTATATATTCACCTACTCGCGGAAACCGGAAAATAAGGTCCCATCGTTTTTTGAGTGCGGACATCATGATATGAGATAACTGTTGCACGCACTTGTTCAATACAACTCTCGTCTCGAAAATAAAATAAACAACACCCTCACAACCTCAACCGCTCCCTCACAAACAACCCAACTTGAAGGCTTCCCTCTGCATCCCACTCACACTTGGCATGTCCCGCCCTCTCCTGCAGCACAACTCTCTTGACACCCCCCTCCCCAACTTCAAGACCTCCACACACGACGAGGGTTTCGGCACGCGACAAGGTCTAGCTAGCTTTACTTCTTATTTACTTCTATTTATTTTAGGTATACTGGGCGTGGGCGTTGAGATTTATACGCCTTGCACCACTTTAAATCCGGTTTCCTTGGCTCTGTTGTTTTCATGCATCTTACCATTATTTCGTCAAGAAATTCTCAACACGGAACGAACACTTGATAGTGTTTCATGTGCACGATGTCCACTGGCAGCCGGTTTCATTCATAGCACCAAGGGTAACGGTCCCTCTATATTTCATGCCCCAGCATCTGGAGCACACAAGGAAACATATTAATCCACTCGCGTATCCCTGTCCACCTGAATGTGAGCTCTATATGGATTTTGCTTGGTATTGATTTGCTGAGCCATCATAATGGGCCAACAGACACGTCCACGTTTTTCTTCTTCCAGAATGGACTCGGGGTAAAAACCTGATGAACGAGTCACAAGCTGCGTTAAAAATGACTTTGCACTCGAACGGGTGAGCTGGATTTGAAGAAAGTAAAGGGTAAGTCTGCCTTGGAGTGGTGTTCCGTGCATGCTACCTACATAGTGATCTGTCTAATAGGGCGTTGATTGACGTGATTAGGCGATCGATCTGGAGAGCCTTATGCAGCTGATTCAGCAAAAGCGTGAGGGGTCAATGTCTCTGCTTGCTTCAAAAGCTGATTCGAGGGGTGTTATTTGACTATATGGTGAGTTTGTGATGCTCTTGAAACGTGTTGCCTGTACTTGTCCCATAGCTTGTCTCGTAATGGAGACTTGTTGTTTCGCGTATGCCCTTCCGAAACATACTCTTTGATGTATCTAATGTGGTTTCATTCCCCAATACTCACTCTTTGTCTCCCAATGCAGGACCAACGTCCCTGAATACACCATATTCATACGCGCAAACCGCCTACGTATCACACCACAGTACGATGCCACTGTCCAATGTACTTGGAAGTGATACTAGTTCGCATATCAAAACTACTCGATGACGGTGTAGTGGGAGAAAGCATGTCTCATTACTACCCGGAATTTCATGGCGTATCGTAGGAGGTGCACAGCGAGGAAGCATCGGTCAAGGAGAACGTTTGGGAGGCCGAAGGTAACAAATCAAGCGCAGCTCTATATCAACACTTATATTATTCGCGGCGCTTTGTCCTCTGACGTGCTGGGTCGATCTGCTCGATTCTTGCATTTGGGTAGTGAGCATTTGATTGACACTTTCTACTGACAACTATGCCTATATACCCTTCCTCGTGTTCACTCTGCCTTCTGAATGCCATTTGCACATGCTTTCATGCACCGTGATTTTCTACTACCAGCACACTTAATTGGTCCACTTGCAATTTTTAAACCATGACCTATGCGCGATGTTGTACACCAGTCCCAAGCCAGGCATTCGACCCGTCTTTCTGGCAATTCCCGCATGACTAGGGAAGCAGCCTTGGGTCCTGGTGTCTGTGGAAACACAAGAGGCACATTCGAAGCAGCATTCATGACTAAATCTAGGTCTCAGAGCAGTTTTCTGAAATGTGCCTTGACAAGAAATAGTAACAGAAATGTACTATTAGCACTAGCCGGTCCTTCCTCACACGCTGAGGTATGCTTCTGCCTTCATACACGCTATCTCTCTTACAATATTCTTTATATAGCAACACCCTTTAGCTACTAATTTCAATATCATCTCCCACCCAAACTCGGCGGAGAGTTTATGTCTCGACCGATGACGACGAGTTTCCTAACCACAGAGTCTCTTCAGATCTTGCATAAGATAGAGGCAGAGCAGTCATATGTACTACACCTCCAGGCCTTCCTATCATACAGCCCTACCGCACAACAAAGCTCCAGCAGCTCATGACAGCCATTCAGAATGTATTCCTCCCCGACCCTAATGCGCCTGCTGAAGTGCGTCAGTGTTCCCGTTCTTTTTTTAGTCTTGATACTACGTATACTTATGATGGTCCTTTTTGTACGGCGTGACTGATGAGTATACGATGTTTACAGGGCCTGGCATTTGCATCCATGCATGATTCTTATTCGACGCACGCTAGCAACATCGAGATTTTGTCGAAAATCATCCCAGACACCTTCATCGCGCTGCATTTCTCGGACGTCCTTAATAAAGTAGTTATGAAAGTATGTATCACTGATGCTATTCGATCGCACCACTGAATCCTTCGCCACCCAATACTCACTCATCCAAAAATTCTCTCACATCGTTCCGCAGTGGCCGGCTGCTGAAGAACCTCCAAACTACAGGCTTATGCATTGTAGCTTTGTTTGAACAGGCAACTGCACTCCGTGAAGGCGAGTTTATGTCCTTTGACAGCATTATCTACGCCTCATGTAAAAGCCCCATCCATCGCCGGGACTTCCCAGGAATTGGAGGCTGGGATTGCGAAGCCTACGCTAGGGAAACGCGGACGGCCTCTCAATAACTGGTCATTTTGAAGGGCAGAATGACGCAAAGTATGAAGAATGAGACAAAGGGCCGACGGCGCGGGCGAGGACAACACTGATTCACTTCAGGTGGAGAAATTCATTGATTTCAGCATTATTCCTTACACCTCTGCCAAAGAATGGCGATTGTGATACGGAAACAAATGGTTTTTAATAAGTCTGCTTTGTCGTCCCGTCTTCGTGTTGTGCATATCGATGAAGGGATGGGATTTGGGCAACCGAGCTCAGAGCCCTGCCAGTGTGTCTCGTGTTGACCCCGTGGAACACCTCCCCTCCTCCAGTCGACATTTATATGCTGTCTCCGGAATATTTGCATCTCATGCCCGTTGTTCCTCACGCTTGACATGTGTCTATCAAGTTAGGGACGACTGATCATTCAATATCAGGTCTCGATACTTCCCGCATCCACACATGCACTACCATACGACGTCCTCTAATTCCACACTCTAACACGACATGCGTCATAATCAGGGGACTAATAATTGTTGACCAAAGCTCTCCAGCATGTTCCTGGCTGCAGTGCTCAACTCCTTCACAGCCGCTATCATGATGGCGATCTCCTGTCCCATGTCCTGCATGACCTGCCCCCAATCTTCGACAAACAAAGCCACATTTCTGATGAGCCACTCGAGATCATCTTTTGAAGCAATCTGCATATACTTCTTTGTGCCATCCACAAAGATACGAAGGAGCTCGAAAAATGTGCGTCGTGCACGTCAAAGGGAGGATTGATCCACGCGGATCTCATCACGTCCCACCACTGCTGCTCTGTGACAGAATCGAGCGATGTAACCGATTTTTGTTCATCTGCGATTTGAAGGAGGATACCAGCTATGTAAAAGGAATTCTGGTTGAAGCTGAAATTGCAGTACTCTGGAATCATGCTAATGCACCGATCTATATGGCGATCCCCAAACAAATGGGGGAGCCAGTCAGAATTCCTTGCGAGGACAGAGACTAGTTCGAGATAGTGGTAGTCGCGGGCTTGATAGAAGAAGCGGTCATAACCATCAGTACCTGTGTGCGGACAAACCACAGACAGAATAGCGGGGGATAGCTTGGTCAAAAACATGTCTCGTAGCCTCGCATCATCAATGGTAGCGATCTTGGCGATCTCTTCTCGGGCATTGTAAGCAACGCGAAGAGCGGCATGGCGTAGATGGTGAGGCATTTTACTGTCCATGCAGGCGGCGAGCCTCTCGATGAACAGACGTTTTTTAGCGAGACTGCAGCGTATTCTCACATGGCCCAGTAGCAAAAGGATGTCGTATGCTGTTTCATGGTCATCGGAATAGATGAAGTCCAAGCAGTCCACCACCCAGTCGAAGTCTTCTGGCGAGTGGGGTAAGGTTCTCCACCAAATTTGCCCCTCCCACACTCGGGCAGGGTCCCGAGAAACCCCGGTAATAGCGAACGTGAAGTGCACGATCTTTCGCAGAGCTGCCAACGAAACCAAGGTATGGTTTTGTTTGGATGACCTTGCTCGTAAATAAATCTTCCTGCATACGTTTAGGTTATGCATGATCTCCAAATCGGATGAACCAGAATATGGAATCCCATCAAGCTCAATGATGCGACAGGCAATGTCAAGGAGGTCCCTTGTCCGGCGTGTGACTCCTGTGCTATCTTTGTCAAGCTCGCTTCCATCCCATGCCCAAAGGACCTTTTGGAACTGCGCCAAAAAGGACTCCCTGAGTCGAGGCAGAGCGAAACTATAGAATTACTTTGTTAATTATGACAAAAAAACTACCAAATGAGCCAATGGCACCTTTTATCAATCCGAACTATGTCTTTCTTGTCAACCTGAGTCCCGACCATGACGCAAGCAAGAAAAATGCAATTGGCTTCGATTTGATTCGACGGAGAGGATGGAGAGGATAGCAATTGTGATATCACTGTTATCGCGAGCTTTTCTATGCCATCATTCACTCGCCCAGTAACAAAGTGATAAGGAAGAAGATGGGACAATTGCTCAGGGACGGAGCCAGGGGAAGCATCCAAGCAAATAAAAAACAATGGGGAATTTGGATCACAAAAATTCATAGCCGTGCCAAGCACCGTGTGGTGGGGTGAGCGCAAGTGCACCATAGAAATCCCAAACAACACGTCAGAGTCGTTTCTCCCGCGGGCGATAAAATCGTCATGGCCAGAATCCTGAAGAACACATCCATAGTATAAATGAGTTAGAGCATTTCTGACGTCGCGAGCCGCTGCAAATACCTAGAGGCTTGTTCGAAGATCAGACGCAGAACTCCTGCAATATTGATTGAGACTGAAAATAATAACCATCAAAATTTTTAAAATGGCCTTACTGTCAACGCGCAGCATACACAGCACCATCGATATCGGTGTCTGGAATGGACAGGCGGGGGACATCAAACATGCCATCACTGTCAGGGAATAGAACAGAAATCCGAAGACTGTTGTGGCAATGATTACCCAAGCGATACTGGGCTGCTTGTACCATATGTTGGCGCCGAGGGCGATCCCAAAGAGAAGAAGGGAGATCTGAAGTAAGACCGGAAAAGATTGCACGACGGCATCAAAATACCATGCGGTGAGGCCGTCGAACTTCTCCTGCCTGCGCTTGCCCCGTTCTTCCTGCGAGCCGCGACCATATCTGTTCGACTTGTAGTACCCGAGCCACTGCTTTCCTAGTACAGCCCCGAATGCTGCTAGCAAGCTCATGGACAAGCTTGCGTATGCGACCATTTGAATCCTTAGAGCTGACGCGGACGGCGACCAAGTGGATGCTGGCTCTGCAGGCGTAGGGCCCGCCTGGACAAGGTTGCCGAGTCCGATCTGCACGAGTTGCTTCAGAAGCGCATTTGTAGTGTCGCTGGGGTCGGGACTGAGATTAGATTCCATCGCGACGATAAAAGACGTGCTGACAGCGGAGAAAAGACCAGACTGATCAAATATCAATCTCACAATGCGTGAAAGATAAGCACGCTAAACTTACGAAGATCAAGACGATGTCCATGTCAGTAGTGTATCGCTCGAGGAACTCGCCGTCGTGTTCCTCTGCCACTCTTTTGTACACCCCCCAGAAACGAGACCGATCGTCCTTGCCACTCTTTGACACAATCGTCGAGTCCTGGAGAACATCCAATACTTGCCTCATGATATTTGCTCTGCGTATAGAGTGTGGTCAGTTGCAATCACTTGGCTTATTTTTCACTCACAATTCATTGAGACTCGGATTTGGCTGGTCCTTCTCCGCCACGATATTTTCTGTCTGGCTGAGACAATTCATGAGCTTGTTTAAAATCCAAATCACCATTGATAGGAACCTACGGAGCTAAATTGTCGTCCAATGCAGCCTTGAAAGCATTTTCCTGTTCGTGAAGTTCTGATGACTGGGAGGGCCCAGTGTTCGGGCTGCAGTCCTGGTGAGGAGTTGCACACAAACATCAGGGAAGAATCACTTACATCACTGATCGTAACTCCATCGCTGAAGGTCCGCTACTTTCTTGTTATACGGGTGCCAGATCCCAGGAAACCGCAACTTACTCTGAATCCTGCGGGGGTCCTGGATTATCCTGTTCTGGGGCAGGCTGCTCGTTGCTATAGGCGCGCTGGTCCTCATTACCGTCAGTGCTTGATGCCTTTGACATGAGAACGCGATAGCTATACGTATTCGGACCCGATGTTGAAGCCAGTGGAATTGGAAAGAGCCTGAGCGCACAGAGATAAGCAGTGGGTATACAAACACCTTCGGCATCAACGCGGCCACAATGTCATACACGTGTTCATGGTGTAAAAACCGTCGAAGAGCACCTGATATGTCTGCCAAGTACTCACGTGGACTGGAAAGCAAAGTCTCGCGGGTTTGGAATACGGATGCAGTCGTGCGCGTGATGTGTGATGATGATTGCACACTAGGACGTAATGTGGTTTTCGATCAATACCTACTATAATTACAAAGATATTCTGAGTCTTAATACATCCTTCAATAAAACTCTCGTCCCAAAAACCAGACAACACCCTCACAACCTCAACCACTCCCTCACAAATAACCCAGCCTCCCTCCGCATCCCACTCGTACATTCATGCCCTGCTCCCTCCTCCACCACAACCCTCTTAACACCCCCCTCTCCAACTTCAAGACCCTCCACAAACTCGGCCGACACCACCCACGGCACAAGTTTATCCTCCTTCCCTGAAAGCACCAACACCTTCTTGCCGAAAAACGGATTGGAAGCGTCTTTTGCGCGGTACGCCAGTTTTTCAGGGTCGTACCTTTCTACGTATGTCATAAAGGAAGTGGGGAAGTAAGGTGGGGAGAATGGGATGTTTGAGGACTGGGCGCGTTGATAGATTAGTTTCGTGTAGTCGGGACAGCCGATTATGGGGATTCCGAGGGTGAGGCGGGGCTCTAAGGGATTGTGAGTGTGGATGAAGTTGCTAGATGAGCTGGTACGTACCCCTAGAAAGCGCAATCCACGTCGAATGTCCTCCAAGACTCACACCGCCTATACCCCATTCCACAATCGTTCGCTCACCCGAGGGATAGAGCGAGGAAGGAAGGTGGTCGATTAAGAAGGACACGTCTTGTGCTGTACCGGCTTCGTGTGGGGTCAGATTCACGACTCACGTTTAGTATCGGTTGTGGCCTGGACATACTTTGGATGGTATACATGTCTACCCTGCATTCG